GGGGGGGGGGGGGGGGGGTCATGCTATCGACGTCCTTCTTTCCACCGGCACCGAAGGATCGAACCTTCTGAACGATCACGTTCGGGCGAGAGGGGTGTCAATGGCATCTTGCCTGCATATCCACTTTTCTGAGGTACTGGCTCCAGCGCACACGCTCTCATCATGTGTTGCCTTGCCAGGTCGACAATTCCGAGTCTTTCGCCAGTCGGAACGGTCCAATACCTTGTCGGGGACACAACTACATGGGCGAGATTGTGAATACAGCAGCAGTAGTGACTTGGGGCGTGTGGTCGACCCATGTCTTGGCACGCGTTCGGTTTACTGTTTTAGTTTTATGATCTCTGGGCATTCTGAGGAGAGTCAGGCACATGGGCCGGGCTCGACTGCCAGTTGTTACCTGTACTCGCTGGTCTACTACGCTGGCGTCAGATCTCGTTTTTCCCGACGTTTTTGCTATGGTTATGGTCAAGCAAGCAAGCTCGGACAAGTGGAAACATGGTAGTGCAGTGCAAGGTGGAGGAGGAACGTTTTTTTTGGTTCTCTTCTTTTTAGCATGTTGGAAGACTGTCGTAACTTTGCTTTCGGTCGTAGGTCAGGTCGGGGCGAGTCAAATAGTATCATTCGGAATCGGTCGCGGTGTGACCAGAGTCCTTTTCAAAAGCGGGGCGATATTTACGCGGGTCTGCTGTATTCGGCGCCACGGAGCCTAGACACATTTGGGCTGGTTCATCACAACCAAGCCCGTGAGTTTGTTCATATCGTTCGTGTGCTAAACAAGCGTACGTTCTTGTGTGAAGAAACTAAGTAGTCTCCACCAAGCCCGTGAGTTTTTTCACCTTCCACTCGTAACCCCGAAGGAGGGGATACTGGGTTTAGTTGGGGCTAAAACTATAGTTGGAGTCGCCGTGGCGGATGCAAGGTGGAAACCCCGCAGCAGCGAGGCTGAACCACGGTTACCAGGTTACGATTCTTCGAAAGAGGCTTGGCTTGTTGTACGGTCGTGGTGAAGCCTTGGGGGCGAGATTCGAGAGACGGTCTCGGTCGGGGGAGGGGGGCGGGAGCGTGGCTCATCAGCAGCACGACCCCCCGCCCATCCACGGCTTTCAGCCTTGTAATTTGCTCACGAAAGACTCGGGGGTTGAGTCCTTGGCAGCAAACACTTACCGAGCGGACGGCGGAGACGGTCTTGCTGCCGAAGGCAGGGGTGCCGCCCGGTGGGTAGTAGCTGTGTTAGCCGTGAGAGAGCTATCCAGTACAACTACCATCGGTGTCGGCCCCCGCCCCTAGAAAAAGTCCTACAGGAGAGTCGTGCGGAGAAGGAAGGAGTAGGCGAGAGGGGGGCGAAGTCCTTAGGAGCACCCGAGTGTGTTGGCCCAGCCCGGTGTGCACTTTGGATTCTGAACCCGCCTCAAACAGCAACAAGGCAGCAGCAGCAACAACAACAACAACAGAACACGGCGGTGGTGTTAGGGGGTGGCTATTTACCCCCCCGGCTCCGATCCTGGGAACTGGGTGACTCAGCCACGAAAAAAAAAAATGGCGAGCGAGTGTCCGCGCGCTTAAGCTTTTGGGGGAGGGAGGGGGGGTCGCAGTGTGGGTAACCGTAGGTGGTACCGGGCGTGGTGTCCGAGATGGCCCGGAGGAGCAATGGGTAGCTTTGCAGTGTTGGCGAAGTACAAGCAACATCGAAGGAAGAGGGATGTAGTTTTACTCGCTGCATTGTGCAGTCGGGTAAGGAGAGAAAGAAGGAACGACATGGAATCCAAAACTTGTTCATGACGGGCGATGTTATTTTTGGACAACCTAAGGGTACCACTCTCTTTGGTGCCGCGGACTTTTTGGTCGGTCGTGGATGCGAGGAGCTGCCCAACTCTTGCAGAAACGGTAGGAGAGCACGATCTTGTGGCAGGCACCACCAAACTGATACGAAGCGCCCACAGGTTTCGGCGGTTCGGGTGGCTTCCCGCTTTACGCATACACATGAGTTGGGTGACGACCTTGTTGGATTTAACTCTTCAAGCTGCGGTGACAGGAGAAACGGTTGCGTGCCCCACCAAAATATTTGTCGGTGCGCAAGCTGGTCGTTCGTTTTCCAAATTTCCAAAGACCCATGACTTGCAACGCAGGTTTTTCCCTGTCGATTTTTCGTTCGTAATTTTTCGTTATCGTTTGCTGTGCACCTCTGGTTCACACCGCAAAGGAAGCCCTCAACAACGCGGTACTATTTCATTTTTCGTGAAAAAGGCCGGGCATCTACTGGACAAGGACCGCCCCCCTACACCCTCCCCACCCCGCTTCTGCTCAGCACAAAAACCAAAAGGTGGGACGAGGGCTCCCTCGCTTTGTTGAGGCACTAGTCAGACTCAGACGTAAGGCGCGTGTTGCCCCCACATGTCTCCTGATGCAGTGTGTACGCCACGGCCAAAATAACTTACCGCTAATTTTTCAAACCCTCGCCGGACAGACCGTCAACCAAAGGATCTAGGCATCTGGTTTCAAATGCGTACCGGGGGGGCAAAAACATGTCACACCAATGTCTTCAAGAACTGACGCACGACTGATGCACTACTCGCCATCCCCACACCCACAAAACATGTCGCACCTTCCCGTCCGCAACGCATCGGATGCGTGCCTTTCTCCCTCACCAAAGTCCTGACAATATCCTAACTACACTACAACTCGATATACCGCGTGCTCTCCAAGCAGCGCAGCTTCTCGAACAACACAATTACATGCCGGCGCACCTATGGCCGACGACCTGTCGACAAAAAACAAGCTCGTCCCACATTTGCGTCGAACGCACTCCCCACCCACGATTCGGCCAAACGCAAGCAAGTGCCTCCGGCCTCTACATGTCACTAACTCTATCGAAGGTTTTGTTGAGCTTGTTTTGTCGAATCTCGGTTTTCAACCTCTCCCGCGCCTGGCTCCGCTGGTGCGCCCTCAGCATCTTGACGTCCTTCGACCGCGACACGCCTGATAGGCCCCCGAACGCTTTTCTTTCCCCGCGCTGCAATGCCACCGCCCCTCCCGTCGACGTCCCCTTCTTCATCTCGTCGTCGTACATTGCCCCGAGCCGCAGCCTGGCTGCCCTCCTTTGTGCCATGACCACGTCGCGCTCGTCCGGGGTGCGAAGCCTCTGCTTGTAATACCTGTGGCGTCACGTTGGGTGTGGGTCGAGCTCTCCGTTTCCAAGTGGTACGTGTTGCTTTGTTTGTGTTCTTCACTATATGCTCGGACTATACATGACACCATCGACTACGCTCTCCCCTACTTGTTGGGAGAACCCGCGGACATATCAGCGTGTTTGTGGTTTGGTCCGCTCAGGGAATGTCGAGTTTTTGCTTTTGGAGGTTATGCGATGCCCATGCAATCAAACATAGCACGCAGACGAGGCAAGCCCGTCAAAGCAACAAATGAATAATATGCAGTTGGGTAAGTTTGATCCCGCACAGTATTACAGAACGGGCCCGGAGATAAAAAACGCCACAACCGGGACGAGATTCAGATTAGTATTTCCTCGCCACTGCTGTCGAGCACAGGTTGTTGAATGGAGTTTTGAAGTCTAGATCCACCGCTGAGCTGTGTTTCTAAAGCGTGAAAAACTAAAGCCTCTGTTTCTTTAACGAAATATTTCCCAACTGGGGGCCCGTTCTGTTCCACCGACACATCGTATGCACACGAGGGGACACGACTGTATGAAACTCAAACTTTTACCTGTTCCACTTGCGGTTTCCCACGGTTTTCCCGTCCAGCAGGACGAGCTCCCCCAGATCCGTAACGCCGAGCGTGCGTGCAACCTCGACCGTTTCGCCGTCGCTTTCCTCTCCGCTGTTTTCAGCGGCGGCAGCAGCGGCAGCATCGTCGGCCCCGGAGGCGTTTGCCGCCAGGAGGCCGCTCTTCTCGGCGTCCAAGTAGGAGGCCGAGAAGTCGTAGAACGACTCGTACTCGTGCAGGTCCTCATCCTCGTCGTAGAGAAGCTTGCAGTGCGCCCGGTCGATCATGTGCTGCAGCCGTGAAGAGTTGTACAAATACACACGTCAGCGCAACCGCCTGTTGCTATGTGTGGAGATGGAGGCCCTACAAACAACCGGAGCGAAATTGTCCAAGTACATACTAGCTCTTCGTAATGCTTGAAATCAAAATAAAACCAGCTCGGGGGATCATTTACAAGTTATTCGGTGCGGGACATCTACTCCCTGTGTTGCATCAATTTCGTATTGTGTAGACAACCGACCAGCGAGGGGTGGTGCGGGGGAACGGCAACGTCCGCGGACACGGACGAAAGGTTTTCGTGGATAACACCACCATAAAAACGCAACGAAAGCGGAATCCACGCTACAAAACGGTCATAATTTGACGGGTAGTATATCTTTGACCTTTTTTTCTAAAACTAACGCGTGGCCAAGTACGAAAAAAAAAAATCTCTCTGATGGCACGACAGGTCAGGATTTTCCCTTCACATACCTGCTGCACCGCCCGGTAAGTGTGGAAAGTCTTTCCCTTCCCGTTGCAATAGAGGCAGATGAATCCCAGCTTCACCTTCTCCTCCACGTATGCGATCAACCCTTCCGGGTCCTGCAAGTACTCCACGTCCGGGATGAAAAACCTGGGGGAAAAATTGCACAGGAACGAACGGGTTAGTGCTCATTTGCAGTCGGGCAGTATCGAGGCACTATTACCCTGCCATGCTGTGACACCGCAAAGGTTATCGTTGCAAGAAATTGCGCGAAACGCTTTTGACCTCCCCCCGCAAGGCTTAAGTCATATACTCAGCTGTCATCCGTACGCAAGGAAGTAAGCACAAGATGCCCAACAACCTTAGCAGGATGCAGCGCACCCTTCATGCGACTCGCCGAACACCTCACGGCGCTTCGCGCTTGGTGATGTGAGAGCCTGGTCCG